CCCCAAAACCCCAAAACCCCAAAACCCCAAAACCCCAAAATTTGCAGTACAAATTGATTATTTAAATATTTGCACGTTAATAGTAAGGCAGTAGATAACCCCACTAAGATTTATCTCCACTTAAAGGGATAAATCATGAGTGATTTAGAAGGTTGCAGTTCAGTCTGACTAGACCAGAAACTCTGTCTTCCTACATCTAGCTAGACAGGACATTTTATGGCTCAAACAGAGAAATGTAGGAGACTATCAAGCAGCATAACCTCAAGATATTACAAGGACAGATTTTTAGTAAGCTATCTTAGATGGAGCTATTGGTGCTAGCCCGTGAAGATCCTCTAAGAGTATTGTAGAAGAATAGCACAATAAGTCTTAATAATTGTATGGAGTTCAAGAATGAGCATACTTCCTTATAGAAAAATGCAGTCATAGTTATGTTTAACAAATAGATGATTCTATAGATCTAAGTGCCCACTTCTTGTATTGATAAAGAAAAGCAATCTAGAAGAATGATTGGTTTTATCGATACTAAGGCTATCAGTCCTAAGGTAAGTAATTTTCACTAAAAATCCGAGATTTAATGTGTCCAGAACTGCATGGAGTTTCCATTCTTATGAAAAATTAGTGCAGTCAATTTTTTAGGCTTTAGACATGATTTTTGGTACCTTAGTGTCCCTTTAAGGCTTCAAACATAAAAAGGTTTAGTTGTTCTCATAAAATATTATCAACCGTCTACTCTTTGAGTCTGTAAAAACTTATGAATGCCAGATAGTTCTCATCAGCAAAGGGTCTGTCTCTTCTGTATTTCCATAAAAAGATTCCTGGTTCATTTGACTTTTGGATACCTATATTGGATATATTTCACCATGTTCATTTGGAGTGTGTAGTTCAAGGCTCCAATCCCAATCAGGATGATAAAGTCTAAGATGGCTTGGTATCTACTATTTAAAATCAGAGTTTTTCTAAATTGAACTAGAATTTGCAGATTCTTAGTTATATCAAATAGCTAATCAATTCTATCAACACTTCAATAAAATTTAGTTTATCGAGGCACAGAGTTGATATACTAGAAAAGTCACCATCCTCTTGTCATCAAGAAGAGGAAATTTCGTTTCCAAATAATAAGAATGAAATATCTTCAAAACTTGTTTTGGGATTCATGCATCTCAGACAATCAGGAAAATGCTCAGCAGTGAGTTTATTTTTAAGCCACTCTTCTTGAGACTGCTCAGGACCTCTAATCAGATCATTAATAAAGACCTGGAAGAAGGTTCTAAGCTATTATGAGTTGAGGGAATAAAGAATTGCCCCAAATAAATACAAGGTCGGTTCTTCTCAGAGTTTAAATATTTATATCTTCACAAGCTCATCATAATTTGGGAATCTCTCCTAAGTAACAAGCAACGATTAATCTAGAGGCCCATACAACAATGAGATGTATGCCCAAACTCCAATTCTCTGAATCTGCTTCTTTATTTATCTAGGCAGGTAATTGTCTCTAAAATGTGAAGAAAATGTTATCTTCGAAAACTGGGAGAAAACAAATGATTCATGCCCACCAACTCTTTCTTGCACTAGCAAGTATTACTAAGCTAATGAAGTTCATAATATGTTTAAGTTGATTCGACTCATGAGACATTTATAATAAAATTATTCTTCACGAAGAAAAGGGTTGAAACCTTTCAGGCAGACTATCATGCAGCCATGGTTGTGTAGTATATGTATGATATTGCCTAAACTCATGAACAGTTGGTAAAATTTATTTTATAGAATTCACAACCTCTTGGCTTTCAATAATTCCAATTTCTGAGGGGTTTTGGGGTTTTGGGGTTTTGGGG